CTATAAATACAATGTATATATTCTAGACAATATATGTGACTAAGGTAGGTGAAAATGTTCACCTGTTATTGTTTTTGACTGAGCACCATTTCAGTATGTACCTAATATTAGTGTCAGAACAAAGATTAACTATGAAGTCACAAGAACTACTACAAATTGTCATTATCAGAACAAAAATTATACAAATTAAAAAAAAGGTATATCAGCAACACATCTGCAAGTGGCAGCGCTTCGTGTTGCCGTCAGGTGAGTGACAAGTGCCAACTTTGCCTTATATCTTTAAGTACTGACTATAATTTTTTTTTTTACATTGCTTTATGTAAAAAATGTCTTCATTTAAAAAAAAAATATTTTTCAAAATATTCAGAGCACTGGACAGGAGAACATAGATCTATGTTTGGACAGTTAAGGGGTTAAACCTGTATGGGCCATCCAGCACTGACACTTCACGGAAGCACTCTTAAAGATACTTCAAGGCATTACTTAGGATAAAATACCCCATGCAGGTTTAATGCTTTATTGTGAATATAATAATGGTCAAGAAAGTATGATTTTAAATAAATAACTAGTCAGTAATGACTCATTTGTTTGACTATTTGAATTTGTTAATAAACCAAGGAAGTGGTTTAAATAACCTTTTATTGATTTATAAATGCATGGTACACCTGGATATGAAAGTGAAACGTGCACAAGTGAACATCATCAAATAAATACTTTTTGTGCAATAATCAGCTGACCTTATTATCATACAAAAATACCACAAGGGAGACTGGTAAATTATAATATCCAAAATTGAGCATAATCATGTTAACAAAAAATTTAATGAAAAATTATTTTCATTTTTAAATATTACATTCTTGGAAGAGTGCTACACCTATAAGCATCATACATAAACAGATTTATGGGGGGAGAAAGCTAAACCAATAGGAGTCATACAGCACTTGGGGGATGAGAGGCAATTAGATTTGATCCAAGGAACCTCCGTTTGAGGGGGTTTTAAAGAATATACAAAATCAAGATCCTTTCAAAAAAAAAAATAAAAAAAATAAAATGACATTAAGCACTAGTAGTGTGCTAATTAATTTATTAAAAAATGGCCTAAATATACATCAACTCATTATAGAGAACAAGTAAAGATTTTGACAGGTAAAAAGCAGTGTAAAATTAATAATACTGTTTATAATGAATGAATGTGTGTATGTGTCTTGGTAGTAGTATTTAGTGCAGAGTCAATTTCTCTAAATAGATGGAAGCTTCCATGACAATTGACTTTTTAAAAGCTGCTCAGCAAAATATGCATAGTATAATTACATTCATGAGGTAAGGAAAAGGGCAGAGTTGAGAAGTAGTGATCATGTGAAATTAATTCCTAGTTGGTGCAGCAAGTCATGTTAAAAAATCACAAAGGTTAAGGCTGCATCAAAGAGGGGACTTTCAGCAAGGGGAGCAAATATAGTGCTTTAGGGCATTGAAGATGTCAAAAGTTTATTATATATGCTTTCAAGATATGACATTATTATTATTATCAAAACTACAGCCTTATAGATGTGACAGTCTATTATTATATGGTAAATTTATTAAAGCTACAGTACCTGGAAGTCTCTGCAGGTGTGCTAGGAAATCTTTCCATGTTGTACCTTCGTGTAAGTAGATTTTAAATGTACGAGTGCAGTTTTCCATGTTCAACAGTGATAGGAATAATACAGTAATAAAATTAAGCTTTAAACCTGGGGTGGGGGTCATACAGTGCTGGAGGGAGGGATGTGGTAAGGTGAAGATGGGCAGGAGCAGAGGTTAGTGGAGTTAGGGGAGAGTACAAGAGGAAAAGTAAAATCACAGTAGGTACAATAATTAGTTTTGGTTTAAAAGTCAAGAGCCTGCATCAAATGTGGAACTTTCAGCAAGGTGGTCAGTTTGCTAGGAAGAAGAAAATGAGCAGGAGCCTATTTGCTAGCCTCTAACTCAGATCAACACTGTTGTCAGCTATTTAACCCTTTGAGGGTTTTCGTTGTACTAGTACGTTTTACGCGTAGGGGTTTTTGACGTACTAGTACTCATAAATTCTAGCGGCCTCAAATCTAGTGGGAGAAAGCTGGTAGGCCTTCATATGAAAGAATGGGTCTATGTGGTCAGTGTGCACAGTCTAAAAAAAATCCTGCAGCACACAGTGCATAATGAGAAAAAAAAAACTTTGACCATTTTTTTTTAATAAATCAGCGACTTTGCAGTGTATTTTCGTATGGTATTTATTGTTGTATTCTAGTTTTCTTGGTCTCATTTTATAGAATGGAAGACATATTACAGAAATTGAGATGATTTTGACTGGTTTTACAAAGAAAGGTGCCTTGAAATTGAGCTCAAAGTAGCAGAAATGTTCGATTTTTACCAAACTTCAAAAGTAAACAAATCGTGCCAAGCGTGCAATACACGTCAACTGGTGAGTCTAATATTCTTTCACAAGTGCACCAATAATATTTATACCATTTTTTACACTAATGCAGTAGTCTGCATAACAGTAAATCTTATATTTTTTGTGAAAATAAAAATTCAAAGTGGAAAGCAAAAGAATATAAGAGGGGACTTGAGACATGACTAATGACTAGAGGAAATGTCATTTTAGTGCCAGGAATGTCTTTCTTGTTTATTCTGGACCCTATTCCGAAATTGGCATCTTTTGAAATTTGTGTGAAATTGGCAAAATTGCTAAATTCTGACCACTGTACTGGATAGTTGAATTTCATAAATGAGTGGTTTCTTGCATCCATTCGATAGAAAAAATGGAGTTCTAGCGAAATATTCATGTTTTTTGTCGACTAGTACAGTGAAATTGGCCGAAAATGGGGCTCAAAGTGGGCAAAATCGCCAATACGTAAACATCGCCGAGACCGCTAACTTTGCGAGAGCATAATTCCATAAGTTTTCTATCAAATTTCAAACTTTTGGTGTCTTTATGATCGGGAAAAGATTCTCTATCTTTTCATAAGAGAAAATAATTTTTTTTTTTTTTTAAATTTGGCCGACCCTGAGAACGAGTTTCGGAGAGGGCCTGTCGACCCTCAAAGGGTTAAGAGTCTTAGGTACAGGACTGAAAATAATCTGAAACAATACATAAATAACTTGCACATGGGAGAGAGGAGCTTACAATGACATTATAGTCTGACTTGGACCATTTACAAAGTCACACAAACAGAAAAGGGAGATGGAGCCAGTATATATAGGCCAGCTGGCAGGGACAGGACATGAGAAGGAGAATAATAGTGGTAGTGGTAAGGATAAGGCTGGTAGTGGTAGTATAAAGTAGGGAGAGTGGTTGGTGGGACAAGAATAGAAAGGGGAAGTGAAATTTGAAGGCAGGGGCGAAAGGTAGTAGTAGTATTGGGGTCAAAGGCCAAGAAAGAGCAACACTACAGGAGAGCAAGGACCCACAAGGGATAATACCAAAAACACAGAGGGGAGGGGAGTGGGGTGAAGGACAGAACACCAAAGGCAGAAGAAAGGAAACCCAAAACAAGAAAAGAGAAGAAAAAAAAGATTCAGGTTAAGTCACATTGTTCTGAAGTCTGGAGCATTTGGCAGTGTAATGGGAAAGGAAGGCATCTACAGAGACAAGCCAGGACTAAGATTCATACAAGGAAAGTTCTGTATAAGGGATGATTCAACAAGACAGTGACTGAAAGTTAGAAGCAGGGTAAACAATTTTAGCAGATGACCAGTCAATAGGATGACTGTGATCTCTAACATGACAGAAAAGAGCATTATTAGTGTCTGCAAGCCTGACACCACTTTTGTGTTCCTTGAGTCTGTCAGAAAGAGAATGGGGAGCATGAAATTGAGTATACACCAGGGGCATCTATAACAGGAGAGGTACAAACTAGATTACTGCAAAGTTTGGAAAAAAGTAAGTTTGATATCTAAGGAATGGAGAGAGTTGTTGAGATTAGAAAGACGGGAAATATAGGGAAGGCAGAGGACAGGAATAGTGTGTTTGGGAGAGAAGAAAGTCCATTTAGCACATGAGAAGGCAGAGTTTATGAAATGGGAAGGGTAGCCAAGACAAGAGAAGAAATTACAAAGACTGGAAATTTTCGATTCAAGGAAATGAGGGTCACAAATGCAGAGAGCACAGAGACAGAGCAATAAGAACACTTTTCTTGACAGAGGGAGCATGGTAAGTAGAGAATGTACATGTCACTGTACATAGGCTTGCAATACACGGAAGCAACAAAGCCTGTATCCGAACAGTGGACGTGACCTGTACATCGAGGAAAGTAAGCAAAGAATTAAATTCCTATTCATCTTTAAACTTGATGGAAGAAGCAAGATTGTTAAGGGCATTGAGAAATGGTTGGAAGAGACTAGAGTCACAAGGCCAAAGAGCAATGATATCATCTACATGGCAGAGCCAGAGGGAGGGGCGCACACCAGTATGTAGCAGGGAGAACAGTTTCGAAGTATGGTCCAAAAGTCGGACTGAAACGTTGTCGTAAGCTCCTCTCTTCTATGTGCGGATTATTTGTACATATATTGTTCCAGTCACGGTATTGTGCCTTTTTGTTCTTTGATAATCTAAAAGATCATGGAAGCAAATATAATGAGGTAAATGGGATATTTACTTGTATAAAAGCTCTCAACTGGGAAAGATTGAAAGGCTCGTATATAAATGTAATCCCTGATGCTGAATGGCATCAAGTTTCTCGAGAGTTGCTGGAGAGACTAAGGAATATACTTAGTCCCAGTAGTCTAGCGTTGATAGAATTGGTGCTGCACAAAGTCTGAAAAGGGTTTGCCTATCAGCTCAAGGTAAAATGGACTAAACTTTTAAGTAGATTCAGCCAAGACAGATAGTGTTTAGGAAGATAAGGAACTGCCATGACATTCACCAATGAGAAGGCCAAGAAATCTAACCACAGCACATACTGGACTAGGAGAGTCATGAAAGTATAAAATAGGTTAAGGGATAATGTGTCTCATAAAGGTTAAAGATTTTGTGTTGGTAACAGGAAGCCTGAAACCACTTGATGTGACCCAGCTGGCTGGGTGTGAGTCGACAGTCCAGGTCTGCAAAGGCAATAGCAAAATCTACATAAAAGGATGACCAGATGTGGGAAGAACTGCAGCAGGTCCATTAATATCTATAAGGAATAAGGTACAGTAGTACAGCACTAAGATTGTGACATTTCAGAGTACTTGGATACATTTTTTAACACACTTAAATTTTTTAGCTAAAATATGGAGACTATCACACTTTTAATCAGAAATGATAATAATTTAGGATTTTTTAGGCAATTTCATTATTTTAGTCAGAATGCAAAATCTCTGCAGCCTCGTAATTTGCCTTCAACTAGCACAAAATAAAAGGAAAGGCTGATATTCACTGGAACATTGAGTTTCTCTCTGACAGAAAATCCTCGAGGAATAGTAGTAGTCTGCTTCAGAAGCCAAAGGAAAGGGCTTGGGACAAAAATGTTGAAACACCAGGTAGTGTCAAAACCTTTTGAAGATCTAATAAAAAAAAAAAACAGTATTAACAATGTTCGTTCATGAAGGCATTTTGAATAAATGTATAAAATCAAAGTAAGGGTTGACGGAGAAACGACATTTTCTAAAACCAGATTGATGAAGGGTGTGTGTTTTGGGTCTCCTAGTACCAAACAAAGCATTTATCAAGTAAGCATTCTAACAATATACAAAGAGCACTAGTAACAGCAATGGGTCTATAAAGAGATGGATAATGTCCTGAGGTGCCTGGTTAATGAAAAAGGACTGCTGTAGTTTTCCCCTGAAGGGACAAAATATGTAGTGTCAGGCTATACCTGATTGAAAAGTTCAAGAGCTGTGGGATGTAAGTATTGTAGGATGTGAATTGTATATTTTTTCAGGCCCAGTTGCCATAGATTAGTACATAGTGTTGATGCGAGTTCTGAAATGTCACTTCCCAAAATATCATGGTGACATTGTACAAGATGTAAAATATGAGATGGGGTGGTCACCAACTCAGGTTTGGATTGAAGGAGGGGGGTATAAATATAGGCCTTGGGAAACCTGAAGTGATGCTTAATTGCTTTGGCAACTTTGACAGGGTCTGTTTATTTTTCACTTGTTATAGGATGGATGGGAGAAGGGTCAGATGTGTACTTTGCTAACTTTCATACTTTTTTCTAGCCTAGGTACATGACAGGAAGGCATGGACGTGTAAGCATACCAACAGTTTTATTAAGCAGTCCATATAATATGATGCACATCACATCATTGCTTGTATGAGCATTGTCATGTCTGGAAGATTTCCATTAATGGGAGAGGTTTCCACATTTTTTTTTCTACTTTGCAATCAAGGTGTGTGCATGCATGCACACACTGTCATTTGTTGGTTGTCTGTTGTCTCTTGGCAGATGGCTTGAGCCAATCTGCCCTATGGTGTGCATGAACTGTTGCATCATGGGTGAAGCCAGTTCATGGTCAGAGTAATACAGGGGTTAGAGGTACCAAAGACTAGTACTGGATTCAAGCAACAGATAATTACCCGAAAGAGATTCCAGATTCTGAGGAAAGTCCATGGCTGTGTAGGGATCAGTAGATGGTGTTCTAATCACTTGGGATCCATGGGACAGCTCCAAGAATAAGGGGAAAAAAAAAAAACATACCCACCCTGAACCAGAGTCACCTCCAATGTGGAAGGTAATGCTGCTGTTTCCTTGGAACCACCTTTTACCTTACCTGATGCACACTACCAGGATAGTACCTCTAGAACTGACTGACCTAGGCTTAACAAAACTGTATATTTAGCAAAGAGCACCGACTGTGCAGTCATCTTTCAGCTAATAATCATGGTGTGCAAACCAGCAAGACCATCAGGAATTGTACACTGGTAGATCTGCAGGCAACCATCTCCAGTAGTATTTCCACCATCAGTGATCCTGGCAGATGGCCACCCAATATGCTATTGAAGGGTGACCTGCCACTTCCTAGAATGATCCAATTTCCATTGGGATAAGTAGGCCAACCACAACAGCACTACTACTACAGTAAGCTGCATGAGAACAGGCTGATAATGATTCCTCCTCTGTCTAGGAACTGAATTTCATAAAAGGGGAGATATTCCAACTAATGAGAGCAAAAGGAGGAGGGCATAAGGGGTATGTAGATTCAGAGGAAAAGGGAGAAAAGGTCCAATTCCTAGGATCAAGAGCCCATTTGCCATGACTGGGGATTCCCCTTCAAAGGGACTAAAACACCATAGATTCTTAAGTATTTGTATACATCAATATATAAAGTAATTCTACTTTAAATTTTTTTTTGTATCAAATCAGTTTATAAACCTACATAGTTCTGCGATAAGCATTCAGTCATGTCTTGATTACTTGAGACAGTGATTTAATAGTCTGACCTATTTGAGATTAAATGATATAAATTTGATTTCTGATTTTCCTTACTTGAATACATGTCAATATAACTGCCACACACAATTCATGTCAAATTTTTCCATGGATATTTCAATGGTAAGGTTTGGTTGTTACCTATTGCATATCTAAGTTTTTAGGGAAAATTTGTAAGTATTGGTGGTAATTTCTCTCCTCTAGGAACACAGAAATCACTGTCATGAACTGACTTTCTGCAGATGATTGTTTAAGTTTTCTATGTTATTATACACAATCTTATGAAATGTGCCTTATGTATAATGGACATGTTAGTAGATAACATACTAAGTTTTTCTTTGGAGAATGGTAGAACACTGGAATGGTTTACAAGAGGTAGTTAGTACTACAACCACTGGAAACTCTGAAAAGCTTTAAAGTAGGATAAATACTGAGAGGAGACAAGAGCTTAGTTCTCCTACTGTAACTACAAATATGTAGTTATACTGACAAATACGTGGTTTATGCTGACTCACTAAACCAGTCAAGATTTGCTGCATTCAACTTTGTGCACATCGCTTCAATGTTAATTGTTCATTTTAAACAAACTCCTTAGAAAAGTATACAGTTCTATTATTGAAAGTAAAAGTGAGTAGCTTAGAATAACATAATAAAAGATAAAAGAGGGAACACATCAGGAGAGATTTTAGTGTTGGATGAGGATGACTTCTTTAAGTTTACAGTCCTAGAGGGTTAATAACCCAGGATAATTCAAGAAAGCTAAGCAGCATGGCTCATTGTCATTGAAGTCCTTAAGTTCTTTTCCCCTAGAGCTGTATAGCCCTTGTGGCTTAGTGCTTCTTTTTGATTATAATAATAATAATTTTCCCCTAGAATTCAACCCAGACCAAGAAACTTAAGTATCTAGTTTCAATCTGGTTCCAAGAAGGTGAATAGGGGCAGCAGGTGTAAGGGGACTTGCCCATCATGTTTTGCTTCACCCAGGATTTAAACAAAAAGCTCTACCACTGACTAGAGTCTTGCCTGTTCCTTGAGCTCTACCACTTAGTTACAACACATTACACTTAAAAGATAATGTATAGTACATTAATGTAAGAATTCAAACTGTACATACATAGTCATTTAAATAAACAAATTGTACATGGAAACACACAGTTAAACACATACAGTTTACATTAACTATCTCCATACATACCAGGATACCTTTGTAGCCAATTTTTGGTACTCAGATAATCAAGACTTGACTAAACTTAATTTTCAGTATTATATAAGTAAAAATAATTACTGTAATATATTAGACTGGACTATCATACTTCATCTTTATTTTTCTTTTAAATATGATGAATACACATTTAATTTTTATTAGCATATAGAAAATATTTATATGTAACATTTTGTTACAAGATCATAATGTAACTTAATTCTAATATGACAACCATAAAAGATCTAAACTGTAATGTTTTAGCAAAGAGCCTGAGACTGCTACTCCTATTTTTATACTTTATTAAAATATTCTGACTAGTCAGTGTCTTTCTGGTTTAGTGAATCACTAAAATAAATACAAATACACATACATCCATATATGTATATACACAGTGCTTGTCATTAAAGTATGCCTGGTAGAAGGCAACCAATGTAATTGAATGCCCCAAATTAATACGGTGCTCTGGTTCGGTTGATGAGAAAGTCATATTGGCATGGCAACTCGAAGCAGGATGTCTCAAGATTTTCTACGGCTACTGGCTGCATCCTAAGTGCCTTCTGGGCTTGTGTAGTGGATGATTGTGTGTCAGTGGGCCCTCTGACACACAATCATGTGTGTGGTTTTGAGAGTTAAGTTTGTTGGACATTTTTGGCTATTGACAAATTTATATGGACAGTAGTAAGTAATATTGACATGAGAGACAGTTGCAGTGATCATTGGATTACATAAGGCAAGCCATAAAATGAAGGAAATAGTAGAAGCCAGATATGTGAGAGTATCCAGCAAGCACCAGGTTGTGTCAGTTTCTGGAGGACAGTGTTCATGATATGCCCACACCAAAAATACGTCCAAGAAAGTTTAGAAAAATGTCCCTACTAATGTTTATTATACTAACATACCTAGAATTTTGTCTGTTATCATTTGTTCATATCTTGCACTCAGTAGTAAAAAGTTTTTACACATAACAGTGCTCTTTGCCACATGGCAAAATCAGTTGTTCATGACAGAGGTACCCTTCTGTGATGGTTGACTAGGACACTCCCAAGATTTGAACCCCCCAGTGAGAACTTCTGGGCTGAGATAGAAATCTACTGGGGAAAGGATATCAGCCCACTCCTGTGGCTTTAGAATGCCATCCATGAAACCCTGAAGAATGTGCATTAATCACTTCTTAGACAGTTGAAAGATGTCCTAAGTGCAAGAAATGACCTACTTTGTGGTCTTGATCACACAGATGATGATTAAACTAAATGCAAATTATGTGGTCAGGCATATGGTCACTGTCTTGAGCACTATGTACTTAACTGTTCACTTATTGAGGAATATAGAGATGATATTTTATTAATGAAAATAAGATACCAGATATACTAAGCAAATTTCCTAAATTTGCTTGTAACAGAGAAGTGAACTGTAGATATAAATCCAAATGTACACCTGTAACCCTCTTGGGGCTTAGTTCCTAGGCATTTTGTGTATCCATATGCTCTTGCACTACCATCCACAGGATAGATATGGGGGTGTACAATAAGCTAGCCACTTCGGTGGCAAAGTCTAATCTGATTTTAGAGGGGGACAATGTATTTTAATGATAAGCACTGTATATAAAAGAATAACTGACTTTCAGTAGCATAGAAATAACACAAATATCTTTGGTCTAGCTGGAGTAGAGTTAAAATTACACCTTTTTTAAGGTACAGTATACAGATCAACACCTTCATATAGTTATCTGCATGCCTTTTCTCACTCCCAGAACAGAAACAGTGTCATTTGGGATTTATTCTTGAGCATAGAAAGTATGCAAGTTGCAATTCTTTGAACAGTTGGTTCTATGAGGAGATTACAATAAGAATTTTGTAGACTTTGCTTATTTCTTGGCCAGAGGTAAGTAAGTTTTTGGGGACTACGATGGAAGAAAAAAATTTTTTTTTTCCTTATTTTGACAAACTTAAATCTTCAAACTTATCTCTCTCTCATAATGTGAACACCTTTAGCAGTTTAAATGCCAGTAAGACATTTTTAAAAAGTTTTTCAAAAGATATCCAGATGAAGGCTGGCATTTACAGTGGGCCAGTATGCCCACTGCAGCACTCCTCAGCCCATGTTCGGTTGCCAGTAGGCCTATTTTAGTGGTCCTTGTTTTGTGTACACACCCGACTTGTTTGCATATACAGTACGAGGGCTTCCTTTCAACTAGGTTAGTGAGACTGAAAATATTTGTGATATATCTATAATGTGGGTTATTCATAGATAATACCCATACAGTTAGTCTGTGCTTGACTCATATATAGTATGTACGTATGTATAAGTTATTTTTTTTTTTTCAACAAGACGGCCGACTTGTTGAAAAAAAAAAACTTATACATATATGTAAGTGTGTGCATTTATATTATGCAAATATATATATATTATATATATATATATATATATATATATATATATATTATATATATTATTATATATATATATATATATATATATATATAAGTATATATATTATATAAGTATATACATGTGCATATAGATATCCACACTATATTTATGCACAAACATGATTTTTCTTAATATGGTAGCACTGAGTTTAAATTTCTTAAAATAAGTCTAAAACAATGGTAATACATTTGTAACTAAGCTGTTTGGATGTGGTGTCGATCAGAGAAGATGCTGGTCATTAGTTTAGTGATCCTAACAGTACCATCAGTCATTAAGTGTAACACTAGACAAGAATGTCACCAGCTTGTCACTCTTGCCTTCAACATATTTTTCACAAAATGCTACTGTTAGTGATACTCATTGTTTTTATAAATGTATATATTTTAATAAAAGTTGCAAAGCCAGCAGAATATGATGACCGATGCTTTAAATTATGTAAGGAAAAAATCTTTAAAGAACTATGATGATCTAAATAATATTAAGAGTGGATGCTATTAAGGCAACAATAAGAGTGAAGATGCAGTGATGATGAGATGCAAATAATCCTTTGCACCCCGATCCTCGATGTCCTGGTCGAGCTGAAAGTAAAGGAAAATACCTTCACAAAATTGTGTCAAAACTGTGGCTTCTAGCTTGCTGAGTCTCTACAACAGCCATACATATAACTTACTCCAAGAATTCAAGTGCACCAAGATTCAGTAGCATCCAACAGTACAGAATGGTGAGTGTTCAATTCCAAAGTGGTTCAAATCATCCAGACTGGTAGTTCTGGCTCCTGGCTTCTCAACCACCTAGAGCACGATTCTTGAGTTTCCATACATCTCCAATCCCAACTTTGGCACATAAATTTTAGGGGTGTTTCCTCTGTACAATCAACTAGTTTATTTCTTTCTTCCTGTCTACCTATCCTATTCTTCATAGCTTACTTTGGAAAGCTTATTACCATCATTTTGTTATAGACAAGGCCATTCCTGAAGAAATGGTACTAGGAGTCCAGATTACAAACCTGTGATAGGCTTCCAGGGTTTTGTGGTGCGAAGCCAGGGAGGTCTGGTGGCTGATGATCGCTCAGGGCTTCGCTGCGAGCTCTGGTTTACCTCGGATGTCAAGTCCTCCACTGCACAAGACTCTGCTGATACAAGTTAAGTGAATTGAATGAAAATAAAACCCTCTTGGCCCATTAGAAAATCATGATTATACACAGCACTCAAACATCTACAGCATAATATTTAATATAATCTATCCCCAAAATCTTACTTTGTACATAACCTTGCAAACTGGGGTAGCAGGTGGTGCTAATAAACTTTGCTAAAAAAAATTTTAACAGGTGAACAATCCTTTTTGTGTTCTTAATGTCTGTCAGGGAGTGGCCACATTCATAAAGCACTATTTATGTGACCAGATACAGAATTAATGTTAATGCAGATGTGTAGTATTGTACCATAAAATTTGATACTTAAAATACTGATAGACCCTTGATATTCCTAGCATCAAGAGACTGGATATATGAGCCCATATTCACCATTCAAGAAATCGAAGTTACAACACCGTTGCAAGAACAATTCACAGCTACCTGCAACCCATAAATTGGAGAAGATATTACTTAGATTAGAAACCCAGGAGGAATAAAAACACAGGAAATCAAAGTAGTGTAGTTTTTTCCATTGGGGGTCTGTTTAGGTCCTGTAGAATATGACCCACTATAGTCAACTCTCTTCAAATTGAAGGAGAGATTGCATACTTACCTTTTCTGTAGAGTTTCATACCAAGGACCTCTGGCTGGATGCCTCTGGAGCAGCGGGCACCAGCCTCTTTGATGAAGACCACACCACCAGTCCTGATGAGACCCACGAAACACTCGTAGGTATGGATATCTCTACGGTAGGTGAGGGCATACACACGACCTTCCTCCTCCCACTGTCCCAGACACTGGTACTCTCGCTCTGTACCACAACACACTAATATAACCCTTGTAGTACATTACAGACTTGAGTTGTTGTCGTTAGGAAAAAATCAGCTGAAGTGGATCTTAATATAATGATGCCTTGCTCAAACAACAAGGAATATTTTTATGCAAATTTGTAAGCTCATTTAACAAGGCTTGTCATTTATATAATTATAATGAATATTAAATCTTGGTGATATTTTAAGAAAATGTTCTAAAACACATTTGTAAATGAACTTTAAACTAATTTAAAAACAGGCTAATAATATTTACTGAACAAGTTTATATTAGTTCCATTAATCCATGCAATATAAAGTTCTGCACAGACACATGAGGAATCTGTGTGATGTTAAAAGACTAACTACACACACCCATCTGTGAACACTAGGCACCCACTGACCTCAAGCACTGCTCATCCCAGCACACGTGTATAGTGAAATATATACTACATATCAAGTTCATACAAGTATTGCCAAGTGGAAACAACACACACATAGTTCACACAATTATCAGATGAGTACTGCCAAGAAGAAACAACACATATAGTTCACATAAGTAGCAGACATGTATTGCAAATCGGAAACAACACACACAGTTCACATAAGTATCGGATGAGCAGTGTGAAAAAGGAACCACAAGGTCACACAACTATCAGAGTGTCATATGTAGTGTCATCACAAGAACTAGCTCTAACCTGGAAATTTTTCGTAATTTTTGTCAAAACAAAAAGACAGCATATAACTTAAAACTGAAATTTTAATTATGTAGTGAGCAAGCTCACTGCATATATCTGAAGTGTTAAAATGGGAAAGTAAACATGAAAAAAAAATTAATAAGAATATGAGTGTGGTAGCAATGTGCCAGACTATGGTTGAAGGGAACAGATGATGTGCTACAATGACACCACAAACAAGCTTAGGTACCTGAGGAGCTCAAGATACAGAAATATACTATCACAGTATTTTTTTTTTTTTTTTTTAAAGTCGGTCGTCTCCCACCAAGGCAGGGTGACCCAAAAAAGAAAGAAAATCCCCCAAAAGAAAATACTTTCATCATCATTCAACACTTTCACCACACTCACACATTATCACTGCTTTTGCAGAGGTGCTCAGAATACAACAGTTTAGAAGCATATACGTATAAAGATACACAACATATCCCTCCAAACTGCCAATATCCCAAACCCCTCCTTTAAAGTGCAGGCATTGTACTTCCCATTTCCAGGACTCAAGTCCGACTATATGAAAATAACCGGTTTCCCTGAATCCCTTCACTAAATATTACCCTGCTCACACTCAACAGATCGTCAGGTCCCAAGTATCATTCGTCTCCATTCACTCCTATCTAACATGCTCATGCATGCTTGCTGGAAGTCCAAGCCCTCGCCCACAAAACCTCCTTTACCCCCTCTTTCCAACCCTTTCAAGGACGACCCCTACCCCTCTTTCCTTCCCCTATAGATTTATATGCTTTCCATGTCATTCTACTTTGATCCATTCTCTCTAAATGACCAAACCACCTCAACAACCCCTCTTCTGCCCTCTGACTAATGCTTTAATTAACTCCACACCTTCTCCTAATTTCCACACTCCGAATTTTCTGCATAATATTTACACCACACATTGCCCTTAGACAGGACATCTCCACTGCCTCCAACCGTCTCCTCGCTGCTGCATTTACCACCCAAGCTTCACATCCATATAAGAGTGTTGGTACTACTATACTTTCATACATTCCCTTCTTTGCCTCCATAGATAACGTTTTTTGACTCCACATATACCTCAATGCACCACTCACCTTTTTTCCCTCATCAATTCTATGATTAACCTCATCCTTCATAAATCCATCCGCTGACACGTCAACTCCCAAGTTTCTGAAAACATTCACTTCTTCCATACTCCTCCTCCCCAATTTGATATCCAATTTTTCTTTATCTAAATCATTTGATACCCTCATCACCTTACTCTTTTCTATGTTCACTTTCAACTTTCTACCTTTACACACATTCTCAAACTCATCCACTAACCTTCGCATTTTTCTTTAGAATCTCCATAAGCACAGTATCATCAGCAAAAAGTAACTGTGTCAATTCCCATTTTGAATTTGATTCCCCATAATTTAATCCCACCCCTCTCCCGAACACCCTAGCATTTACTTCTTTTACAACCCCATCTATAAATATATTAAACAACCATGGTGACATTACACATCCCTGTCTAAGACCTACTTTTACCGGGAAGTATTCTCCCTCTCTTCTACACCCCCTAACCTGAGCCTCACTATCCTCATAAAAGCTCTTTACAGCATTTAGTAACTTACCACCTATTCCATAAACTTGCAACATCTGCCACATTGCTCCTCTATCCACTCTATCATATGCCTTTTCTAAATCATAAATGCAATAAAACTTCCCTACCTTTATCTAAATACTGTTCACATATATGCTTCAATGTAAACACTTGATCTACACATCCCCTACCACTCTGAAGCCTCCTTGCTCATCTGCAATTCTACATTCTGTCTTACCTCTAATTCTTTCAATTATAACTCTACCGTATACTTTTCCTGGTATACTCAGTAAACTTATTCCTCTATAATTTTTACAATCTCTTTTGTCCCCTTTCCCTTTATATAAAGGACTATACATGCTCTCTGCCAATCCCTAGGTACCTTCCCCTCTTTCATACATTTATTAAACAAAAGTACCAACCACTCCAACACTATATCCCCCCCTGCTTTTAACATTTCTGTCATGATCCCATCAGTTCCAGCTGCTTTACCCCCTTTCATTCTACGTAATGCCTCACGTACCTCCACCACACTTGCATTCTGCTCTTCTTCACTCCTAAAAGATGGTATACCTCCCTGGCCAGTGCATGAAATTACCGCCTCCCTTTCTTCCTCAACATTTAAAAGTTCCTCAAAATATTCTCGCCATCTACCTAATACCTCCCTCTCCCCATCTACTAACTCCCCTACTCTGTTTTTAACGGACAAATCCATACTTTCCCTAGGCTTTCTTAACTTGTTTAACTCACTCCAAAATTTTTTTTATTTTCATTAAAATTTCTTGACAGTGCCTCTCCCACTCTTCATCTGCTCTCCTTTTGCACTCTCTCACCACTCTCTTCACCTTTCTTTTACTCTCCATATACTCTGCTCTTCTTGTAACACTTCTGCTTTGTAAAAACCTCTCGTAAGCTACCTTTTTCTCTTTTATCACACCCTTTACTTCATTCCACCAATCACTCCTCTTTCCTCCTGCCCCCACCCTCCTATAACCACAAACTTCTGCCCCACATTCTAATACTGCATTTTTAAAACTATTCCAACCCTCTTCAACCCCCCCACTACTCATCTTTGCACTAGCCCACCTTTCTGCCAATAGTCGCTTATATCTCGCCCGAACTTCCTCCTCCCTTAGTTTATACACTTTCACCTCCCTCTTACTTGTTGTTGCCCCCTTTTCCTCTTTTCCCATCTACCTCTTACTCTAACTGTAGCTACAACTAAATAATGATCTGATATATCAGTTATTATTATTATAATCAAAAAGAAGCGCTAAGCCACAAGGGCTATACAGCGCTGCAGGGTAGGGAAGGAAGCAAGGGAATTGGATGGCAGAAGGGAGGGGGGATGATCAGCAGGTTACAGAAAACAGCGGGGCAGGGGATAGTACGGGGGTAGAGGGTAGCAAGAGATACAAGTAGAAAGGGCTGAAAGTATCAGAATTTGTGAAGTAAGTCAGTCGTTGTCAAAAAGTCAATGAGAGAGTCGGAGAAAGGTGGGTCCATCAGCGAAAAGGGAAGGTAAAGAGAGAGCAGCGGGGCGAAGACGACGACAGAGGTAAATTCTGCGTGCTCTTTGATAAAGGGGGCAGTCCAACAGAATGTGGCTGACTGATAATGGAGCTTGGAAATTTTCTCACAGAGAGGAGCAAGACGCCTCTCCATGAGATATCCATGAGTAAGACGAGTATGGCCAATGCGAAGACGGAGAGAGTAGTCTCCCAACCTCGACACTGGTGAAAAGAAGACGGCCAGTAACCTATACTGGGTTTAATAGACTGAAGTTTGTTGCCGAGCATAGTAGACCAACGTTGTTGCCAACGGGTGTGAAGGTGGAAGATATTACAGCAAAATAGTCCGTACATGGAATACCTCTATAAGAAACTGGTAGGTCATGTACTGCTGCCCCGCGCAGCAGGTCTGCCTGTTCATTGCCCTGTACGTCAACATGACCAGGGCCCCAACAAAAAACAATATTTTTATGCTTAGTAAAGATGCGGCGTAGCCAAAGTTGGATACGGAGGACTAAGGGTGAGGTGTATCAAATTTTTGTATAGCCTGTAAAGCACTAAGGGAGTCTGAGACAACCACAAATGATGACACAGGCATAGATGCAATACGGATAAGTGCGGGTAAGGATGGCATATAATTCAGCAGTAAAAATACTAGCTGAAGATAGTAAATGCCCTTGTACGACGCTGCCCGGGAAACACTGCTGCGAATCCTACGCCGTCAGAAGACTTAGAGCCATCTGTGTACACAGCAATGGCATGAGAATGAGAGTGAAAGTGGTCAAGAAAAAGAGAGCGGAAGCGACCGTAGACAGTTGGGTTTTTCGAGCAAGGGAGGGAGAAAGAAACAGACTCGAACAGCTGGAACTTCCCAGGGGGTAGGAAAAGTGAGATGCTACATGTACATAGAAAGGTGGAGTTGAAAGAAAGACAAGAGCGAATGAAGGCGAAGAGAGAAGGGACGGATAAGCAGGGGCGGCGAACAAATAAAGAATGTCTACTAATATCAGTGACCATTCTATAAATGGAAGGATTGCGGAGATCATGAGAGCGTACATAGTAGCGCAGGCAATGGGCATCACGGCGATCGGATAAGGATGGAACGTTCGCTTCTGCATAGAGGCTTTCGACAGGGGAAGAGCGAAAAGCACCAAGGCAAAAAACGTAATCCTTGGTGAGGGAAAGGGGTTAAGGCTGGG